TCATATATATCAATACTGAATAAACGTAGTTCTATATGATGATTACTTTTTCCATTATCAAAAAATAAAATAATTTTAAACAATTAACTGAAAAGTTCATCAATTACATATAGACGAACTGAAAGTTAGTCAACTAATTTTTAATTAAAAAAATAATCAACTAATTTTTGTTAGTTGAATAATATTGGCAAACTAAACATTTAGTTAACTAATTTAAGATGTACTAAAAAGTGAACTATAATTTTTGAAAATTTAAAAAAAAGTGCAGTCTTGGGAAAAAGGAGAACAATAAAGTACAATAATAAAAGTGATTGAGTGAAAACGTGATAAAGTTTGTTGATTAATATTAGTTGAACTAAAAGTTTAGCCACCCAATTACAGTTATTTTTAAATTAGCTTTGACCACAAAAATACTAATTAACAATTAAAAGCTAATTTTGACATGAAATAATTTTATAATTAGTTATTAAAATGTTCAACATTTAGTAAAATTTGTTTAGATGTTGCTAGCAATGGCAGGTTGGGTTACTGGTTATAATGGCCAATTTCCATTTGATAAACCAGGAGACCAGTATGGAGAACATAATTATGTTGGTATGAGAGTTGTAAGTAAAACTTTTTGACTTTAAATAAATTTAATTATCTCTAATTATTTTGCTTTGATTATCTTGTGTTGCTGTTAATTTAAATTCTGCTGTTAATTTAAATTGCTGTTAGTTTAAATTTTGCTATATGATTAATTTAATTTTATCAAGTTCTGTGCAATACTTGGAGGAAGTTGCATACCTTTAGCATACCTTATAGTTTGGGAGCTAACTCATTCTTTACCTGCATGTATTTTAGCTGCTTGTTTGATTATTTTTGGTTAGTACTTTGCTATTCATTTTTATGACAATTATTTTGTAAAAAAGGTTTTATCATAGAATGTTTTTAGATAATGGTTGTGTTACAATATCTCAGTATATTCTTCTTGACCCAATTCTAATGTTTTTTATGATGATGTCTGTATTCAGCCTCATGAAGTTTTACAGCTGGAGGGACTGGTAAGGGGCTTACTTAAGGGACCTGGTAGTGGTAAGATGTGATTACATCAATAATATATTTTTTTTAATGTTTTAACAAATTTCAAATTATGATATATATATATTTTTTATATTTAGTCCATTTTCATTTGATTGGTGGGGTTGGATGCTTTGTACAGGCTACTTTTTAGCATGCACATTTAGGTTACAAATATTTTGAGTTAATAAGGGGTTAACTTTCTTGTTTTCAATACTGCAATTATAATATACATATAATAAACATAATTAACATTTTTATAACTTGCAACACTTTTCTTAATTTAGTGTTAAATGGGTTGGATTATTTGTAATTCTTTTTGTTGGACTTACTACAATTCATGATATGTGGCAGTTACTTGGTGATCTTACCTTACCTATTGTGAGAACTGTTAATTTACCTTATTGATAACTGTCATGAGTAAAAATATAGCATTTAAAAAGATTAGTTTATAATTTTATGTTTTTTTTTAAATCATATTAGTTAAGACTTAACATTATTTTATGTTGAATTAAAGAGAGAATCTTGTCAGCAAGTTAGGAGGGAATCTTGTTAGCAAGTAAAGAGAGAATCTTATTAATAAGTTAAGAGAGAGTGGGATCAAAAACAGGCAAATAATATGGAAAAATCAATCAAATATAAAGAGTTATTTTTTTAAGGTTTTTAAAAATATTAAAAATAATGGAAAAATAATAAATAGTAAGCTTCTGAAGCTGTGAATCTTATTAGCAAGTTAAGAGAGAATCTTGTTAGCAAGTTAAGAGGGAATCTTGTTAGCAAGTAAAGAGAGAATCTTATTAATAAGTTAAGAGAGAGTGGGATCAAAAACAGGCAAATAATATGGAAAAATCAATCAAATATAAAGAGTTATTTTTTTAAGGTTTTTAAAAATATTAAAAATATTAGAAAAATAATAGATTGTAAGCTTCTGAAGCTGTTAATATTGGGGGTTGTTAAAAGAGGAGAGCTTTCTGCAAATTAATAATCAATGGACAAACATTTACATTTTCTTTAGATAGTGTGCTGTCTGCTTTTACATGTAATTACCATCAAACTTTTGCTTGTAGTCATTTACATAAGTCTTTCTAAGACATATGGAATTTTAAGTTAAATAAATCATGTGTCCATAATGATACTTTTTGACAGAGTCATTTTCATTTACTTGGCGCAATATTTTTATAAAGCTCAAATACCTTAGAGATGTTAAATTGGAATCAAATATTTCCAATTTGGGTTATTTTTTCTAGTGTAGTGGCTTTAAAAATTTGGAAAGTAATTAATGTGGTTTTTTACTGATTGAATTTGCTTTAGTGTGACTTTTTGGGCAGCAACATGCTTTCCTCTTAGATCCACTACTAACAACAGTTGCCAAGAAGAACCTTCTACAAATACTTTCTGTTCTATCACCATTATGAATATACACAACACTGCATTGGAGCTTGATGTACAAGACCACTTATGTATGAATTTTGTTTAACTAAGTCTCTAATTTGTCTTTCAAATTGCTTTAAACTTTCATTTTTTGTGATTGATGCAAAACATTTGGGGAAGCCTTAATAAACATTGGCCAAAACTTTAGGTGGTACTTTAGGTGGTTATTATTTACCATTTAAATTAAGATTCTTCAGATTTTCAAAGTCTTTTTGTTTTTTTATGTCTGATTTCTTAGCAGGGCTGTTTTAATCTGCTAATTAGCAATAGTAGACTACTGCTAGACAAGTTTTAAGGTAAAAACTGGCATGCGAACCTGTTAAAAAAGTTAGCTATAGAAATAAAACTTGCAATTTTAGATCTATTAAAGAAACAAAACATACCTAACCTAAAACACTACAACAACATTTTGCTGCCTTTTTTCATTATTAACTAAATATTCAAACAAAATTGGCTGATAATTACTCTTTGTCTTGTAAATGGTTGTAGTTTTGATCAGCGTCGCTGTCAGTAATTCTTAGCATATTTTCAACACTAATGTCATCCATATTGCATTATGCAGCTAGTCTGAGATAAGCTGCAAAGCTTAATAGTGTAAAAAGTTGACTTTATTCACTATAATTCAAAAACATTTAGAGTTTAATTGAGAACCCAAAGTAGGTGCTTCCACCAAGCATCTAAAATTGTAAGTTAGGTTAATATGTTTATAACTATTATGTTTTGTGTCAGATTTTTTATTTTAGATGTTGTACCATTGTATAGTTTATAATATATATATATATATATATATATATATATATATATATATATATATATATATATATATATATATATATATATATATATATATATATATATATATATATTATATATATATATATGCATATATTTATATCTAAAAAAGCTGAAGATAAGTGAAAAAATGTTAGGCTCCTTTTAAAGTTATAAGAATTTATTCTACTTACTATATATTTTGGATAAGTTTTGATTGATTTTTTTTTTAGATGACAATCTTGAAACATTTTCTTGCTCGTGTAATTGGTTTAATAATTCTTCCAATTACAGTTTATTTATTTTTTTTTGGTTTGCACTTTCAGTCACTACCATATAGGTAAATTGTTTTTTATTTTAATACTTTAAAAAATATTTTAACAGAATATCCTTGTAAGAATATACACACTTTTATTATTAAAAATGAATACAAAATATTTTACAGTTATAAAAAAGTTTGTTTTGATAAACTAGGTAGTTAAGTAGTTACTAAAGAACGTGGGGTAAAAGAGAAAGTTTAGAATGTTAGAAACTTGGGGTAAAAGAGAGGTATAGAATGCTGGAATTTTGGCAGAGATTATATTCACACATATTATTTTAAACAATATTTTTAATTTTCAATTTTTTGTTTGTTGATATTTTCAATTTTTTTGATCAAAATTTTGGCTTTTTTTTAAAAAGGAATTCATTAGTCATGTTTATCAAAGTCATTTTCATCACTTGTATTTTTCCAATTTAATTTTAATCAAATCTAATTTTCAAAAAAAGAAAAACTAGACAAAAAAAATAAAAAAATATTGCTTTCATGACATTTATTATTTTTCTCCAATCTAGCATTATGATTTAACTTTATAAAGAACCACATGCATAAATTTGTATTAGTCATTAGATGCTTGCAGTATACAAGCAAAAGATTTGATTTGCTCATTTCTGACATTAAGAATGAATAAGTTTAGGTTATATTTTGCCAAGCTTTCTGGTATCTCACCTAATTCTATTCTCTGCCACATTTTTTAACAGATACTGTTTTATACAGATACTAGATATTTTATGGAGATACTCTTATGGAGATACTCTTGATCTTTGCTAATTTTAATTGTAACAGTATTCTGTTTAATATAAATACAGTAATCGATTTAAATATAATAAACCAAAAAGAAAATTTATATAACTTTAATTTTTTTTTTAATATTCAACAAGTTTTGATGATTAAACAAATGGCAAAAAAACTAAACTCAAATCAAAAATAGTAAATTTATTTAAAAAAAAATTATATTATTTAAATGCTAAATTTTGTTTTAAAATATTTAAAAAAAAAGCAAGTTAAAACCTTAATGTCAAAGTCATATAATTGAATGTTTTCTAACAAATAGTAAGAGTTATTGTTACTTAAGGTCAGTTTCCACTCATCTGTTTTTCTATTAGAGCTGTAATGGAATGCAAAAATACTTAAGGATGTTTTTAATTAAGTTTTGCTTCTGATAAATTAAAATTTATGCTATGCTCATGTGATTGTTTTTCCTGTTTAAGTAGAAAAAGTGATGAGTGGAAACTTACTTTAAGATATATTATTTGATTTGATTTTCATTTGTTGTTAATTAAAGACTCTTTATAACTGCTTTTCACGTGCTGTTACTTATAGGCATTTTTAAATTGCTTTTTAACTTAATAAGTTATTAATGTGTTAATATTAAATATAAGAAAACTTTTAATAAGTTGTAAATGCATTAGTTAGTAAAGAGCAAAAAAAAAACAGTGCAACCTTTAAACTGTTTTTTAGATTATTGATGTTTTGGAGTTTTTAATTGTATTTTTTTTTTCTGTGCATTTAACTTTTAACTTATGAAGATTATATTAAGTTATTTCAAGAAGTTGAATTCTACAATTTTATATTTTAGTGGACCAGGAGATGGTTTCTTTAGTTCTTCTTTTCAGTCTACTTTGCAAGGAAATCAACTGTATAGAGCACGATTGCCTGGGGGTATGCATTGATTTTTAATTTTAAATTTTGTTTTGGCAAAGTCTGCATTACAGTTATTAATGTTGGTTAAAACTCTTCCATCTTAATTGTAAATCAATGTTAAGTTTTTTTGCTATAATTTGTTTTATTTTTTATTATTGATACCATTATCTTGTTCTGTTTTTTAACAATTTTTTTGGCTTGTAGTCATTGTTCTTTTGATTGGTTTTGTTATATAAATATTTGATGTGTGGAAAAATAGTTTAAAGATTTTTCTTTAATTTATTATAAAAAATAAAAAATAAACAAATAAAATTAAATAAAATATATATGTTTTTTTATTGTCTATGACTGTTTGGTTCTGAGTCAAATCACGAGGAACCCAAACAGCTTGTTTTGAGCAATAACCAAATTGATTCAGATAATGTAAATTAGTGATGTTACAACACCCATGAGTACTCTCCAAGTAGAATGCAGGCTGCAATTGGTTACTCTCAATTCGCTCTTTTTATTTTTTAGGCAGCTTCTTAAGCAGAATGAGTTATTTGGTATTCGTATAGCAGACTATGTCATATTTTAAGCAAATTTTATTTTTTTGAAACATTTTTTTAGAACTTGCATATGGCGCTGTTGTAACGCTAAAAAACTACAAAACAGCTGGAGTTCTGCTGCACTCCCATCATCATCTTTATCCAAAAGAACATCCACCAGAGCAGCAACAAGTATTTTTTAAGTTTGGTTGCAGTTTTTAATTAAATTTTTTATTTTTTATTTGGTTTTAATTTTTAGTTTGATTTTTCCAACTTAGTTTTCTTTCTAATTTTAGATTACTGGCTATTCACACAAAGATTCTAATAATGACTGGATGGTTCATAAGCCTAATAAGCTATACAGTAATCTTTTGTTTTATCTAGAAGTTGAAATATAATCAAGTATTATTTATAAGGATAAATATATATTATAAATTAAGAAATATATATTATATAAAATTAATGTAATTATTAGTATTAAACATAAATATGTATTGCAAGTGTTAAATGTTATAAATGCATAAAACTTTAGATTCAAAAAACTTCTGTTGTTACTTAATGCTTAGAAATTTTTAGATGAATCTGATCCTGTTGAATATGTTTATGATGGTGACATAATTGTTTTGCAACATGTAATGTAAGTGCAAGTTGTTCATAATTAATTATTATGATGATAGTGTTGTTTAATGATTTGTATATGATATGGTTAATGATTTATTTGGGAGGAAGAGAAGTGTTGGTCAAATTTTATTGTATTTGAATTAAACCAACTTTAATATAATTATTTAAAATTTATATTATTAAAAATAAGTAAATAAGTTATTCAATACAGATATTCACATTTAATTATTTGATTTGCTGTAGGACTAAAAGAAACTTACATTCTCATAGAGAGAAAGCTCCCATTAGCAAAAATTTACAACAAGTATCTGGTTATGGAGAGGTAAAAAGGATAAATAATTCCTTTAAAACCTACATTTCACTATTATTTTTAGAATAGAATTTTTTATTATTTTTAGAATGGAGTTGGTGATGCAAATGATTATTGGCGTATTGAAATTTACAAAAATCCAGGGAAAAATGGACGTGTAAGCACAGTTAAAACTGTGTTTAAGCTGATACATGTTAATACAAAATGTGCTTTGCAGGAAACAGACCAACTGTTGCCAAAATGGTAAAAATTATTTTATGGTCTGTTTTTTAAAAAAAAGTTTAAAAAAAAGAGAGTATTAAATTTTTTTGATTTTTCATTTATGAATTTAAAAGATTAGTTAATAGAAATCTATTTAAAATTAATTTTAACACTTTTGTAAAATTTTTCCAACTACATCAGCTTTGAGGTTTGACTTTTATTTTTAAGTTTAAGGCACAAGAGATAAAAAAAAGAAGTGGAAAATTCAGTCTCATGTAAAAAGTTGATTTGATATTTCATAAGTTGCTGGCCAAAATATCCCAGAACTTGATACTTTGATTATTTCAGAAGGAAGCAAATCAGTTAAATTAGCTAAATAAAGAAGCTTAAAAAAAACAAAAGTTTATGGCTTGCATTTAAGTTTTTTTAACAAATTAAAAAATAGGGCTTAGACTTGAGTCGTTATTGTTGACCTTTAACATTAATAAAATATGAGGCTTTAATTCTACTGGACAGTATTATGTTTTATAAAATATGAGACTTTAATTCTACTGGACAGTATTATGTTTTATAAAATATGAGACTTTAATTCTACTGGACAGTATTATGTTTTATAAAATATGAGACTTTAATTCTATTATACTGGACAGTATTATGTTTTAGTTTGTTGTATAGTAGTTAAAAGTGTGATATTGTATATAACTTAAATTTGATTAAATAATTTGATATATGTTTTACATACATAAAATAAAGTTTAAAATCATGTAACTCTATTTTGTTTAGGGGTTGGGAACAAAGAGAGATGGCATGCAATCCAAACAGGTTTGCTACTGGAACTACTTGGAATGTGGAAGGAAATGTGCATAAAAAAGGTTCTTTTTATTAAATCATGGAATCATTACTTGCTAAATTTGTTTTTGTTTCTTATATTTATTAGTTTTATTTAGTGCCTTTTTTATTTATGTTTTATCTGTGTTGTACTTTTTTTCATTTATATTTTACTTAAATTTTCTGTTTCATATGTTACATTTATATTGTAATTATATTTATGTCATATATATAGGTATTATCAAATAAGGATTTAAAATCCAATAAATAAATTGTTTATCAAGAAATGAAATTTGTTCATGTTTTTTCACAACCATTTCTTTATGACTAAAATGCTACTTTTCATCTCAAAGTACAATTTTTATCTTAAAGTACACATTTTATCCTAAAGTACACATTTTATTCTAAAGTTCACATTTCATCTTAAAATACACATTTTACCCTAAAGTACACATTTCACCCTAAAGTACACATTTCACCCTAAAGTTCACATTTTACCCTAAAGTACACATTTTACCCTAAAGTACACATTTCACCCCAAAGTGCACCATTCATCCTAAAGTACCATTTCATCCTATAATACACATTTCATTATAAAGTATACATTTCTTTCTAAAGTATACATTTTATCCTTAAGTACACATTTCACACTAAATTAAAAAATGTGCAAAGTAAAAATAATAAAACGCAAAAAAAAAAAGTATAAAAATATTGAGTTCACTTTATATAACCTTTATCGATAATAAAAAAAAAACATTTAAGTTAATGTAGTAAAATAAATTAGGCGCACAATTTTTTATTGATTTTTGTTCTACTTTTTTTCAACCTAATGAAAAATTATTTTAGTAATTTATATGTTTGTTTGACAATATCCTAAATAGCTTATGATGACTATTTCAGTAATAGAAAACTAGGTGATTTTTGGGAATTTAATGGTGAAAGTAACCTTAAAATAATAAGTAGAAAAATTCTTGTTAAAAGATTTAAACTTGAAAAGTATGGTAGTTGCTTTGTTGCACCTTGCAAGGTGGTGATGGGAGTGTTGGTATTTAAGGTTGCTTTAATTTTAACAGAGTAGGTTTATAACAATTTTACAAACCAAATCAATCATTACACTGAAATAGAGAAACTAACAGACTGTAAAACTATATCAGTAGATACGCTGGTTGATAAAAAATCTGATATAAAATCTCAGTTTCAATAAAGCTTTGTTTTTACTCACACAGCTCACACAGTCAAAGCATGGATGAAATTGATGCTAAAAAGATAGGTAGCTTGCAATAAAAATTTTGTGTGAGAGAATACTCTTTTTGATGTATTACATTTTTTTATTGATAGGTTTTTGTTATTATGTTTAATAATGTTTTTTATATTCTATTTGATAGTTTTTTCAATAATGTTTTTATATTCTATTGATGCTTTAATATATCATTTAAGATGCAAGATTTGTTTAAAAAAAATTTTTCTTGCAAATAAATAAAAATTAGTTCAATATATACTTTATTTTATATTAAACTTTTTCCATTTAAAATACTTTTTAACTTTAAGTAATTTTCAAACAACAAAATCTTTATGTATCTATTTTTAAAGCACTGTATATTTTGTTTATTTATAATATTTATTTGTAAATCTATACTCTTTTGTAGAATTATTAATGTTTATCCATAATAAAAAGTTATAAAATATTAATTTATAATAAATATTTATGCAAGTTTTAATATATAATTATATAGGATTATAAATATTCAAGATATCTTTAAATCTTATAACTATATTTACAAAATTATAATTATATAACTTGTGACTTTTTTTGGTTAAAACTAAAAAAAATATTTTTTCATATTTATTAATACTAAAAAAAACTTTAATGTTCAATTATTTATTTAATTTAAATTTATGTTCTCTTTTCATTTAAAAGTTCCTGAGGTAAGCATCGAACTACTTGCACCATCATTTTTGGAGAGTGTTTATGAGTCACATGTGGTCATGTTGCAGGTGTTTTTTAAATATGAATAAACTTTTCAAATATAATTTATGTTATTAACCAATAAGTTTTATTAATACAAACATGATGTAATATTTAAAAAGTAATGTAGAAATTTTAAACAAAAGTTTTTGTAAATTAAAGCATAATTTCCTTACACTGTTGAATGTTTTTATTTAAAAAAAGTTCTTATTTATTTTCATTAGTTGTGCAAACTAATATTCCTAGTATATCATAAATGCTATAATATTATGATACAACAGTTACATAAGTTATTACAACAGTTGCATAAATTATACAGCACTTACATAAATTATTATACAACAGTTACATAAATTATTATACAACAGCTGCATCAATTGTTATACCACAATTACATAAACTATTACAACAGTTACATAAAGTGATAACAATAAACATTTATAGTTTTTATGTCAACTCTTTTAGGGTTTTTTAATATTTGTTACTCATATGAATGCCATAGTCTGTTGTTTATTCCTGTTAATATTTAAACTTAGTTGTTTTATGTTAAAAGAAGTTGGTTTTACCATAAGTTGTTGCTTTTTCCATAGGTGTTGATATTTTTATAGTAAATATCAACTCCCCTGGAATAAATAACAACCTATTATTGTATATGAATATGATTGTTCTGATTATGAAATTGTTATATAAATTGATCTTATGAGAAAAATGTGGGCAATTGAAGCTCTTTAGCTGTAGTAACCACTATTGCAGATATAGGTTTGTATTGTGGTAACTATTATTGCAGTTGTAGGTTTGTATTGTGGTTACCACTATTGCAGTATTATTGCATCCACTATTGCAGTTGTTAGTGAGAACACTCAGGAAATGCTACACCAGTTTCTTTGTGCAGTGGTTTGGGGTATTTTTTAAGGTTAAAAAAGAGTTACAAATTTACAAAAAAAAAAAAAAAAAGTAGTCACTTTTATTGTCGGAACCCTCTCCGGGGCTTTGGAAAAGAAATTTAATTTAAAAAAATTTAACTAGGAGATGAATAGTTAGCCTAGGTGAAATTTATTCAATAGTTGAGACCCTAACCTTAGAAAAAAAAATTTTTCACATTATATGGTATTAAAATGTTTTGAAAGATGTTGGAGAAATGAAAGGTTGGAATAAAATTGATAACCAGGTAATAAAGTTTTTAGAAAAAGTTACTGGTAACAAAGTAAGAAGCAGTATAAATATAGCAATAACATGCAGTTTTTATAGAAGTCCAGAAAGTTCATGAGGTCCAGAAAGTTCATGAGGTCCAGAAAGTTCATGAAGTCCAGAAAGTTCATGAGGTCCAGAAAGTTCATGAAGTCCAGAAAGTTCATGAGGTCCAGAAAGTTCATGAAGTCCAGAAGGTTCATGAGGTCCAGAAAGTTCATGAAGTCCAGAAAGTTCATGAGGTCCAGAAAGTTCATGAAGTCCAGAAAGTTCATGAGGTCCAGAAAGTGACAACACATGCAATATTTATTGTAAGGCAAATTTAAGCAAGGTTTTTGTAAATGGGAGAAAGTGTGGTGCGCATTAAGAGCGCATGTAAGTGCCCATTAATTTTTTGACCTTGAAAAATAATTGAATGGATAGTAAGTAACAGTTACTATGGCTACGAATGAAAAAGTCACAACAACAATTAAAAAAAAAGGTTAAAAAAAAAAGTAATGGTATACACCAGGGTTCAGGCTAGTTCTTTGCTTTATTATTGCTTTTTATTATTAATACTTTGAAGGTTCTCTCTAAAGAATTCAGGGTTGGTTTACCACAGAAGCTAAAATATGCAGATAATTTATGCTTGATTGCTAAGACAGAAGTTTGTTAGTAAGATTACAGTGTTGGAAAGATGCAATGGAAACAAGCAGCTTTCGGTAAACTTAAAGAAGACAAAATTTATGCAATGTAAAGTCAAGAATGAGCTGTAGTAAATACTGGAAATTGGCAATATAGAGTTTGTATACCGTAGTAATGAAGTTATAGTAGAAGTTGTATACATATACATATAACAAAGCACAGGATGCTGTTGATATGGTTGGTTTAAAGTGTGATAAATATACTTTTGTTAAATTCAGAGATATCAAAAAGGTGATCCAAATAAAGAAACAGTGCAAAAAAAGAAAAAAAGAAACAGTGCTTTTGTAAATTTTATTATCTTGGAGATGCAATTGGATCAGTTAATAAATCAGAAGGGGCACCAAGAGCAAGAGTAGGGAAAAGAGTAAGTAAGTAAATAAGTAAGCCTGAGCCAAAATCAGAGAATTATCTCCACTTTTAACAACAAGAGGAGCATCATTAGTGATTAATTAAAAGTTATACACCTTGCCACATATGTCAATATGTATAGCAATGAAATCCAAGCAGTTAAAATTAATGATGTCCAGCATGTTGAAATAACAGAGACAGTGGTGATCAGATAGTTGTTATGTGACTCTAGGAGATAAAAAAAGAAGCAATGATCTTAAACATACGTTAGGAATGGTGAGCATATTTGTTAGGGCAATATCAGAGAAGATTAATGAGATTTGGGCATTTAGAGTATAAAGATACAGTTTTTTAGGTATCAGTTTTAAAAAATATACAGATGTACAAATAGAGAAATTGAGTGTATAGGAGAAATTACGAACATTATGAGAAATAATACGGATTTAAAATAATAGCTGGATTAAAAAATAAAGAAACTGTGAATACTTTTTTCAAAATCAAAAAATCAAAATATATATATCAATAAAAAAATAAAATAAATTTAAAGAATTAAATGCTTTTTTCAAATTATAAAGTGTTTTAGTTTACTTTTTAGACTAATAATGGTTTTAAACCAAAAGAGGGGGAATTCACATCTCAAGCATGGCATTGGCCTATTAACTACAGAGTGAGTTTTTCAATTCTTGTAATAAATAAAAAGAATTTTAATTTATTAAAATAAATTAATTTTTGATATGTTTGTTAGGGACAAGCATTTTCTGGTGGAGATGAACGCATCTATCTTCTTGGAAACCCTGTAAGTTTTTATATCATGGATACATAAAAGATTTAAAAAAAATAATAGAACAAACCAAGAATATGTTTTTATGATTTAAAAAAAAACATACAATAATGCTGTCAAAAACATGGAAATTAATCCATTAACCACTTGTTACATCTCATTATATCAAATAACTTTTTTTATATAATGGAATCTACCAGGGGTATGAAATAAGCGTTAAAATGCAAATGTGTTCATAGGAAACATTTGTTGTTAACGACCCTTTTTTTTTTTTTTTTGTTAGTTTGCTTATTTCGACATCTGTCAAACATAATAAGTCATTAAATAAACAACATCATATTTCTTTTTTGTGCTTAAGGTGTTGAATTTTTTTACCAGAGAGTGATGATTTTTAAAATGCAATAATTTTTTGTTTTAATTAAAAGGAAAGTTTTGCAGAGTTCCATCAAATGCTTGATGAGGTATATGGTGATCTTGCTCTATCAGAAGCAACATGCAAAATATGGTTTTAACAGTTCTAAGATAATGATTTTAATGTAAGAAATAAAGAATGTAGAAGACCACCAAAATATTTTGAAACCACATTGATAAGGCAAGACAAATCATAGAGCATATTCTGTGATTTGTGGGATCAGAAGATGTGGTGTATCATGAACTTCTAAAATCTGACAAAGCAGAAGACACTGCAAAACTAAACAAAACTTTGTTGTATCTTCTAGCCCGTTCCTGAAAAATGACAGGAATAGGCCATAAAATGCTCACTTCATACCGATACACCTGGTAATATCATAAGTGCGCAATCTCCATTTTATAAAATTTGTAAAATTAAGTAATTTTTTATGCTTTGTTATTTTGTTTTTTGTACTTTGTTATTTTGTTTTTTGTTTTAGATTATTTGGTGGTTTATCTTGTCATTGTTTTTCGTATATGTCTTTCTTTTTTTCACATATTCTGTTGTTCTAAGAAGAGGATATCAGATACACCCCCAGCTCAAAAGTAAATTTTATTTTAGAAATAAATTATCAACTCAAAATTCAAATAAATGAATAATTTTTTATTTTTTTTTATTTTATAACACTTTTTAAATTGAAATTGATTTGATAAATATTTACCTAAACTTGTAAAGCAAAGAAATAAGTGAAACAGAAATATATTTATGTATATTTCTATTTCATTTATATATATATATATATATATATATATATATATATATATATATATATATATATATATTTCTGTTTCATTTATATATATATATATATATATATATATATATATATATATATATATATATATATATATATATATATATATATATATATATATATATATATATATATATATATATATATATATATTTCTGTTTCATTTATATATATATATATATATATATATATATATATATATATATATATATATATATATATATATATATATATATATATATATATATATATATATATATATATATATATATATATATATATATATATATATATATATATAGGGGAAGTTGGGGCACAGTGGATCGGATTTCTTTATTTTTTGAATTGAGCAAAAGTTAAAATATGTATTTTATTTTTTTCAAGGCGAAAAGATTGAGATATATGTCCTTAATGATAATAAATTACAAAAACCTAAATATTTATTATCTAACGGCTCACAGAAAGTTTTAAAGTGAGTTGTGTTACGTTATTCACTGTGCCCCAGTACTGGGGTACAGTGAATAACTACTTGGGGCACAGTGAATTAATGATTCCATCTGTGAACTAATGGTGGCGAATAGGGGCGTAGCCAAATAATTTTGAAGCTGAGGGAGTAAAGACACTGTACACTATATTTTTGGCATACTTTTAGTAATAAGATTAGTATATAATCGAAAAAAAAAACATTTTGAAAAATAAGAAGAAAAAAAAAAAAAACTTTATTGATAACAAAACTTATTCAACAATCTAAAATAACAACATTTTTTAAAAATAAAACAAATTAACTAAGTGCATCATCATAAGCTGTTAAGTCCACAGGAAAGATAAAATGACGAGGAACTCTAGCAGTCCCTCCACGTAGTAGTGGTCTGGGTAATTTTTCAAGAATATCTTGAAGTGACACTTCAGAAATATGATCAACTGTAGGAAGAATAAAGGAAAATAAAGGCTTTTTTCGTTGAAAAAATGATATCTCAAAAAAACCTTTATCCACGTCTTCACTGTGCTTAGTGCTAATAATTTTCCCAACATTAATAACTAATTTTTTTTTAGTAGCAAGTTTGACTAAAACGTAATCACTGGGAATCAGTTTGTTTTGGTTTTGAAAGGTCTCATTTGTAAAACCACTACTTCTATCCATTTCACTATCTGTTAAGTCACAACTCAAGAAACCTGCCTCATTAGATGGACTTACACAAGGTATCTTTTTGCAAGCATTTTTGGCTGCAAATTTTAGCTGCAATCGTTTTTTACAATTCTGCTTAGTTTTATTTTTCTTTGTAAACATATATTTTTCTGTTTGACGAAGTCCTTCTTTTACAGGAGTGTCTGTTAAAACTAATGTTTTTCCTTTTTTTTTTCCACCTCTGTCTTTTCTTAGTGGTGCTTGTGGTAAGGGGGTTATTTCTTCAGGGGATAATTTTGTGGTTGAAGATCCTGGTATAATGAATTCTTTAAAGTTGGAAGTTGAAAGTTCAACATTATGATATGATGGTGTCATTTGATTTTGAACTTGGAAATTAACATCCAATGGTTCTATAGGCCGATCAGTGACATAAGAGCTAAGAAAGTCTTCATCGCTAAAAATCATTGGATTAAATGGAAAAATCCCTGTACATTGAAATCCTAACACTATTTTTTTAGGCGAGAATGCTAAAGGGAAAGCAATACCAACCAAGCTTGAAATGTCATAAATTGTTATGTGTTTACTTGGATTGTTCACTATAAAAGAATTTGCAGCATGATTATAAAAGGCTTTAAATGGTCCATAGACAGTTGTCTAAAGGTTGTAGCTTGTGACTGCAATGAGGTGGCAATGTCAACATGACAACTCCTTTTTCTTCTGCTAGGTCAATTGTCTCAATAGAAAGATGTGTCTTATGATTTTCCAAAATCAATAAAACGGGATGGTCATTTGGACATTTTGTTGATGTAATAAAGTGTTTCATAAATAAATAAAAACTGTCAGCTGTCATCCAACCTGACACGTGAGCTGTCCCGACTGTTCCAGGTGGAGCACCATGTAACATCAGGTCTTTAAAATGCATCCTAGGAAACACCATGAATGGTGGAATAGCATTTCCTATAGCATTTACTGCGGCAAGCATTATAACCAGAATACCTCTCTCTGCTGAAGTAATTTTTCCAACTTGCTTATCTTTTTTACAGGGAATTACTTTTATATTCCCCACTTTTTGTACCGTACAACAACCTGTCTCATCAGCATTATAGATGTCATTCGGATTAAAATTATATTTTCTAAGAATTTCTTCCAGAAAAAAAATTCAGCAACATTTGTTTTATTAAAACTTGTTGCACGTGACAAACTAGTTGCTTCTGGTCTACGTAAAGAAAGATCTTTAAATTTATTCATAAAACCATACAACCAATCTTCTCCAGCAGTTAGTTTTTTTCCATGATTGTGGAATAATTTTCCTGTTGTGGTCAGCAAAATCATAAGCTAATTTTTTTAACTGAGTGCGAGTAAGTCCATAATGTATCCTGGAGGCCTTCACTACATAATCTTTTAACAATATTTCTTCTTTATTTGTGAAAATCTGTTGACATTTATAGTTAGGTGTGTACTTTACTTCATCAAGGCCATATTTTTAGCTTTTTCCACATATCGTTGTAAACTTGAAAATGCAATTTTACTATGTTTGCTTACAGCAGAAATGCTTTTCCCTTTTTCAATTACCATATGCACTGCATCCTTCATGTTTACAGAACTTGTGTTACCAATTTTTTTGTCAATTTGTTTTCGATTTCGAACCATATTATATTATAACTAAAACAAATAAAGTATAAAAAATCATTATTAGCTGTAAAGAAATTATTTGAGCAAAATTTTGTTAAACTATTTTTTCAGAATAATAATACACATAAAATATTATAAAGCCATAATTAAGGATTACTTAAAAATTTCTGTTACTTCATGAAATTAAAAAAGCTACTCCATATAGAGTTTTATCTATTATATTTTTATATTCAAAATTTGTTCAAAAAAAGTTATTATAAAAAGTAATACAATAAAAATAACACAATATCTCAACACTTGAAACTAATAAGATTATTTTCTTGTAGTTTGTTTGTTAAAAATGCATGAATTTAATCTTTAGGATCTTTAATGCGGGAACAGTGAATAAACCGGTTCACTGTACCCCGATTCACTGTGCCCCACTATAACAAATTAAGTATAAGTCTAATTTCTTGCAACATGAGTGTGATTGAAGCTAAACTACTAAAAGAAAGCATAAATAACAATAATCTGAATAAAAAACTATAACTATAAAAAAATATTTTTTTTTGTTCATAAAAAATTTATCAAGTGAACTTTTGACCGGTAGTATATATATATATATATATATATATATATATATATATATATATATATATATATATATATATATATATATACATATATACTTTTGACCGGTAGTGTATAGCTGTATAGTTTCTAACTGTATAAGTGTATAGTTTCTAACAACTTTTAATTACTCATTGTTTTCAATAAAATAATCATTCTTTTAAGAAAATTAAAGAATGAGATAACATTTAAAAAAATATTTCAGAATTTTTATAAAATTATCTTTATCCATGGTACCATCAATTCGCAAAAGATCACTCACTTTTTTTCCAGCAAATCATCGCCAGACCATGACTGACCCTCCATCATGCTTGACTTTTGGGATCACATATTGAATTATTACACATTTACTAAATAAACGGTGAACAATGATTTCTTCAAAAAATTTTGAGCTTTGATTCATCAGTGAGTAAGACTTGCGATCATTGTTTAATTTCCCAATCTTTATGTTTTTTTGCCCATCTCCATTATTTAACTTTAGTTAGCTTGCGTAGTAGCAGTTTTTTGGCAGCAACACGTCCTTTCAAATCATAATTGTTAAGACACTGTTTTACAGTTAAAACAGATACTGGTGTTTCTTGCATGGAATTAAGTTCTTGGCAAATTTTGCTAGCAGTTCGAGTACACTTTCTTTTACTTTGAACATAAGTGAATTTGTCTTTGTGATTCAGCGTTGCTATAGTTCTCCCTGAACAATGCAACTTTGATTACATCCAGTTTTATGTTTTCTTTACAACGCTCTAATGACTGCATTTTGAGAAAAATTGGTTTTTAAAGCAATTTTTTGTGTTGAATAACCTTCCTTAAAATTAATAATAAAAATCTCCCTATTTTTTGTCCACTTACCACTGCTTTTTTACCCATTTTTCTTCAATCAAAACATAAAATATATATTTGTCTTCAAGTTTTAAGACTAGGATAAAATATTTTAAATTAATCATTGTTCATAATAATTATTCTATAAATGTTACAATATTGAACAAAAACAATGTTTTGATTACCTTTCTGTATAAAAAAACTATAAACAACAACAGTGAGAAAAAAATTAAGTTAGTTTTACAGTTAGTTTTACCTTCCTCAAGACTCATTTTTGTGAAAAATCTCAATTTTTTTGGTCAAAAGTTGCTGATTTTATTGACGTTGAGATAGGGTCTAATATAAACCAATTTGGCTGAATTAAAAAAAAAGAGTCCAGACTACATATATTTTGCATTTAAAATCATACATATATTTGTTTTTGTTTTATTAATGAGGATTTATTATTCAAATTATCCATAAATTTGCAAAATTTATGACTTTTATTGTGATATTAAAAAAGCATTGGAGTATACAAATACATTTTTTCTTATATAATAAAAATGTTTTTTATTTAAAAATATTGTTCAATGTTTGCTACTTTAATTAGTTACGTATTTGAAGGTAAGTTTCCGAAACATTTTTCCATCTCCCTTTTGCCTATCATTTCCCAAAATAAAATAAATAGCAAACCATTACACTTCATGTTTTTTTAAAGTTTTAAAGTTTCATATGAATTTTTTTTTTAAATAAAAAACTAATTATATCAAGCCACTACATTGAAAATTTAAAATTTACACATTTGACTTTAAATTTTAAAATTCAAAATAAAATTTTAACTGAACAAGTATTAATACGAGTAATCAGAAACAAAAGATTTTGCACAATAACAGTTTAAGATCTTCTAAAAAGATTTTTCATATTATCGATAAAGCTAGGCCTGTCATTTCAGCTATGTATTGCATAGAAATAAATGTACAGTTATCGATACGGTTTTATGATATTTTGTATTTATATGAAAAGAAGTCGTGGTCACTAAAACACATTTTCATCTCAATGTTGACACCAATCTATCATACTATTATACTCTGTATGATAAATAATGCGTGCATATTTATACTCTTTATATAGTATTGATAATACTATTTTAATAAAAATCTATATAGTTTAGAAATGCAATTTCCAGCGGGCACGGATATCTTGCAACACTTTAAATATTGTCAATCAAATTTGCTAAATGAAATTACAAAAAAGTTGGATATTCTATATTGTCCTCCAAAGTTAAAGGTTGATAGGCATCAACTAGTTGAATGTGAATGTATCTTGGCAAAAATAAAACATCCATAGATTAAAGGTTTCCAGTTATTAGTGACGTAAATATTAGAAAAAATTTTAAAAATCTTGAACAAAAATGTTTTAATTTATTAAAGAATGATATTAAATTATTTAAGAATTTATTAAAAAGATATTAAAAATCAAATAGGATTTTTTAAATGTTAAATTTTTTAAAATTTTGTTAAATGTATTTTTTGGATAGGAATTCCAGAACTAAAAGATTTAATTAAAAGTGATAAGCTAAAATTTAAAATCAAAGATTTATATTTCTTAGAAGACGAAGAAGGTCCAAGATTATATCACTTGGGTCCTCTAGAAACTAAATATACTAAGAAAGTAATTTGATTTTGTTTTAGTTGTGAGAATTTGCCTAGTGTAAGTTTTATTTTTTTAAATGTTTAGGCAATTTTGCTTCAGATCTTAATTAAATGATGCTCTCAAGTTAGATGAACTATTGTTACTTTACTATATGGAGTGAAGCATTAGTATAAAAATATTGATTCAAATATTTTTATTTTGTTTTTGGACTTACACTATGTTGATTCTCATCCACACATTTAGTTTTTAAATAGTATACTCTTTATAGCTTGTTAAATTTATTAGATATGCTCTAACTTTGTGTTTTTGTCACTCTAACATCTTATTACTAATAAATTTATTTTTATATAAGGTAAAATCATTAAATATAAGGAAGTGCACTAATGCAATGAAAAATGGATCCCCAAGTAAAATCTTAAAATTTCAAGAAGAAGACGTTAGCAGTAATGATGAACTAAGTTCAGATAACTTTTCTGATTCTGACTTCAAGATAAGCCAATGGATAAAAAGAAAAAATTAACCAAGCAGTTCAAAAATTTGGGCTAACATTCCTAAAGATATTTATTCAGGAAATGTTGCTTTAATGGCAACTGTTAATAGCATCTATGGGTGTGCCTTCTTTATCGTCCTCTTCAGTAGATGATCAATATAAAGGAATAATGCAGTTGCTAGATGAATATGGTATTAAATCAAATTTTAGTAGATTGTGCTTTGACACAACAGCAATAAATACTGGCATTACGAAAGAGACCGTTAATAGAGTTACCCATGATTTAAGTAAATACATTCTCCGGCTTGCTTGCAGGCACCATGTTACAGAGCTTAGAATAAGTCATTTTCAAAAACAGGTTACTCATGAAGAAAAGGTAGGACCAGAAAATCTTTTTTATTAAAAGTTAAGAAATAAATTTGGCAATCCAGAGTTTCATTACAATCCTTAAGGTTTGATTGGTCATTAAAGGCTGGTACTGTAGTCCAGAAAACAGCAACAGATGCACTGGAATATTGCAAAAAATACATTAAAAAGAAAAATATTGCCAAGGAAGACAGAAAAGAACTAGCAGAGCTTGTTATTATTTATTTATAGAAATCGGGAATTGTTAAAATAAAAAAACCAGGTGTAGTTCACCATGCAAGATTTCTTAGCTCAGCTCTTTATTATACAAAATTACATCTGCTATCGAAACAACTGAAGTTACATCTGCTATCTAAGCAACTAAATTTTTTGATAAAAGAGGAAGACGTAAAAGCTCAAGTAGAACAAATTGTGGAGTTTATTTGTTGTTTTTATGCTCCATGGTACTTACAAAGCCACAATCCTATTAAAGCCCTATACTTTGAAATTAAAGCTCTACATTAAATGACTCTGCATAAAGATGTTTGCCACGTAAAAGAAGCTGTAGATGAAGTCATTGACTCAATGTTAAAACACTCTTGGTACTTAGACTCAACTTTGATACCTTTTTTGATTCTAGATTATAAAGTTCCTGATGAAGATAAAACACTAATCGCCAAATCAATTTTATCTTACAAAATGCCATCTTTAAAGGCATCTGATTACAAAATTGAAAATAAGCCAAAAGTGGATATCAAAGAGATAATCAACCTAGATAGCACAACAGCTAGTAATCCAATAAATTTTGCAGTGTTAGTTAACGAGTTTTCCGATTTTATTTTTTGCAGTAAATGGGTTTATAGAAGAGAGAATACGTGATTGGTTGTCACTTCCACCATCTTTCTGGCACACTCAATCATATTACAACCAGTTTTTAGCCTATGCAAAAACTTTGAACAAAAACAAATGAGACTGGTAACCATAAACAAAGTTTGTTATGCTATGAAAAAACCTGAAAAAAGCTCCAGTAAGATGACAAAAAAGAGTATGGAAATATTATATATATATATATATATATATATATATATATATATATATATATATATATATATATATATATATATATATATATATATATATATATATATATATATATATATATATAAGTTAAAAGAAAACTTTTTTCAAGTTTTAAGATAATCATTAGTTTTAAAAATCTTGAAAGTTTCACTTTTAAGTTTGTATTTTCTTTATTTAAAATATTATTCTTAATTAAATTAATTGTTTCAAATTCCTTATTTTTTCTGTTTTGTTTTAAGTTGATGCCGAAAACACTATTCGTTCTTGTGGTTGGTTACTTCTTGGATGGTCATTGCATTATTTTCCATTTTTTGCAATGGGCAGAGTATTGTATTTTCACCATTACTTTCCAGCTTACTTGTTTAGTGCTATGTTTTCAGGTTTGAATTTTTTTTTTAAATATGAAATAAAAATATTTGATAAATTTAATATATATATATATATATATATATATATATATATATATATATATATATATATATATATATATATATATATATATATATATATAACTTGTATATATATATATATATATATATATATATATATATATATATATATACATATATATATATACATATATTTATATATATATATATATGTATATATATATATATATATATATATATATATATATATATATATATATATGTATATATATATATATATATATAAATATATATATATACTTGTATATATATGCATATGTTTTTTAAGTTGAATACTAAAGACCAAACAGGAATAAAATTTTAATTAAAAGCCTGTCTAAATCAAAAGAGATTTTAGAGACTGTACTGTCTTCTTCATTTGAGTATGATGATTCCACGCTTGAATGATATATTCTGAGTTTTGCGTTTGGTTTGTGATCAGATCATTTGTCGTTTTCTCTTTATCAGCTCCCACATGTTTTCAATAGGGTTCATATCTGGGCAATTACCTGGCCAATTTAACAGAGGGATAATTTGCTCTTTAACTTTTAAAATACTTTAACAGAAAGTCCTGTGTAGCAGAGAGCTTTATCTTGCATAAAAATAAATTGTTCTCTATTTGTAAACCATTCTCTGAGCTGTTGAATAAACTAATTTTTTTAGGACTTTATTGTATTGATCTTGTCTCATTAAACCTTTTACCACTTACAGGTATCCAGTACTTTTCCCACTGATGACTGATTAGATTTTATTTTTGTAGGATGCTTTACAGTCTGAATGATGTAGTCATTTTTGCAGGGTGCTGAATGATGCAGTCGTTTTTGTAGTGTGCTTTATAGTCTGAATGATGAAGTCATTTTTGTAGGGTGCTTTACAGTCTGAATGATGCAGTCATTTTTGTAGGGTGCTTTACAGCCTGAAGTCATTTTCATAGGGTTCTTCAGAATAAAACTTTTTTCTGTGGTGACAATGCTTAAACACAACTTTATTGTTCATAATTTCAAATGTGTTTTCATCTTTTATTAGAAATTTTTTTATTCTTTTGTTGTAGCAGACTTGTCAATAATTGAAATTTTTTTTTTTAATGTTTCTGCTGATTTTTCTTTATTTTATAGAATATGATATTGAACTTATCATTTGTGATAAAAATAATATCAACTACTTATCTCCAGAAGCTCACATCTTTATTATGACCACTTTTTGGTCCACTTCAGATGCTCGGCTTTCATTGCATCTGTTAATTTTAAATTTCTGGCAGGCCTAAAAGCTTTTATTTTTCAAGCAGTTTGCACAGGAGCATATACATTAGCAATTTAGAATTGCAATTTTATCAGTTTTGTGGTAAAAAATCTGTTTTCCAGGCAAATTATCTTTAAAAATCTTTCTGACCTAAAAGTATAAAATAGTCTTCTGCTGCATCTTTTCTTTCGTTTCAGGTTCCAATTATCCCTAAATAACTAAATTTTCTTATTTATTGTATGCCATCTTTATAAACTTCCCATCTACATGATATTTCATAGTTTGAAAATATTATAGTAATAATATAGGCCTTTATATCTTTTTTACATAATGAAAGATTTTTTTTACCCATAAAGAAAATGTTCCAATTGGTTGTTTAAACACTGCACACAAAATAAAAAAATAGTTGTGTAGTACAAAACTGTGAAAAAATAAACACAATGCACAAAGCCACAAAAACATGTATGCAACTTTATTTATTTTTGTTTTTTCTTTTTGTTTTGATCGGCTGTTCACTTGCTGATAGCACAGTTGTTAGTCTTCAATAGATGAATTTCAACTATATGTTCTCTACCTGTACTGGATAAAAAACACAACTTTAAACAATAAACTCTTTTGAGTTATTGTGCTAATAAAATTCGTAAAAAAAATTAAAAGTTTGCAACAGGTAGTAATACATTGGCTTAGGGTGGTAGCCCTCTATTCATTAAAATGGACTTCTTCAACAACAACAACAACATACTTCAACAAATCTTACTGACACCTGTCACATATTTTTATTAGACCAGACCATGTTGAACATACGTAATTCAACAAAATCTATAAAATACCTATCACAAAAACATTTTCATTAGAACAAACCAAGTTGAACATACATATTTTAATAAAATCTATCAAATACTTGTCTTAAAAATATTTTTATCTGACAAGAACAGCTGAACAAACATACTTCAACTAAGTCTATCAGTTGAAGGTTATGGTGAATGAAAACATTTTTTCCAGCATTCATTGATAATAAGGACTTTCCCTCATAAGTTATTCTTGCTTTTGAAAAAGTTATATACACTAATAGTTTGATTTACACTGATAGTTTGAGCTCACTATATACACTGCTACATTTCGTAAAACTTTTCAAAAAAACACACAATATGGTATTTTGATATCCATTCAGCATATCAAAATAGTTTTAAAAACTATAACATTAAAGATTATTTTCAAAATGCACAGGTCAATAGGTCTATTCTTAACTTACAGTCAATACTCTACCCTTACTGATTAGCTTGGCTTTACTATCAATTTTGATATTTAAGTATTGCTTTTTTAACGATTGGCTGAAAATTGTTTTAAACTCTGATAACAAATTTTTAAATTGTAATATTTGTAATGAAAACCAGTTTAACATTTGCAATCTTTGAAAAAAATCAGTGTTATTTCAACATGTTTTTAATGTTTGTAATGAAAACCAGTTTAACATCTGCAATCTTTGAAAAAAAATAGTGTTGTTTCAACATGTTTGTAATGTTTGTAATGAAAGCCAGTTTAACATCTGCAATCTTTGAAAAAATTAACAGTTATTTCAGTTTTTTTTTTTTTTTTTTTTTATAGGAATTCTTTTGGAGCACTTGTGTCGTTTAGTTTCTTTATTATTTACTTCAAACCAAACACGTGATATTGTTTATAGTGGCGGAGTTACATTAATTGTTGGAGTTGCAATGTTTAGGTAATTTAACTAATATTCAATAAATGTAAATATATAAACAAAAAATGCTGAAAAAATATTTAAATGTAAAGTTTAAGTTGGATTCCATGTTAAAAAAAGGCAAGAGCCTTTTTTTTTCACTTTTTTTTTAAATTATTTTTATTAGATAAACTTATTATGTTTGAACAATGAATAAAAATTATTAAAGTCAAAAAATAATTCTTATTTATTGTTTACATTTACATATGAATTCAATACAGAGCAAATCCGTCACTTATGCAACTCAGTTTTAAAATGCATAAAAATTAAAAAAACTGTTTACTAGGTTTTTTCAAAACTTTTTCAACTGATATTTGTAGAATATTATTAAATAAAGATTTTGTATATTTTTCTTTTATTTTTCTTTAAATATTGTAAGTAAACATTAAAATTGAAAAGATATTTTGCTGCTTAAATGCCTATTGTCAAAAAATAATAAATTTACGCAATATTTTGACCACAAAGTATATTTTTTCTGAATGATCGATGTCATTATTTAAGAAAAAAATAATTTAAATTAATTAAAATATTTTTTCCCTTTGTAATTGTCATGTAATAATTGTTAGCACACGCTCAAATGAGGATCAACTTTGTTGTTAAAGAAAAGATAATACTGTAAATAAATTAGGTTCTTTCAGCACAAAATTACATTGCAGTAAAAGCGGATATATTGATCAACATATCTTTATAGACTTTTTACATCATTTTAATGAGTTTCCTAAAAAGCAGATGGGATAAAAGTTTTGTTATTTTTGGATGCTCACAAAAGTCATGTGACTATTGAAGCAATTGAATTAGCAATAGAGATGGGTATTGAAATAATATGCGTTGCACCTCATAGTACACATCACTTTCAACTTTTTTTACATACATGTTAATAAAGTAGTTAAGCATATGTGGTCTGATGCCTTGTGTAATTACTTAGTTGAAAATGATGATTTTCTTTGCCTTGTTGCAACAAAAAGAGGATTGATTGTTAATGCGTTTTACCATTGCAGTTTGCATCCCCTAAGAAATACAGTGAAAGATTTACAGTAAAAAAAATAAATAAACAGAAGTGTATAATAAAACAACAATTCACCAGGGAGACCCAAATTATCTATTTTAAAGACTATTGTAGCTTCTACAAGAAAAAGAAAAAAAGCAAACCTACTTATTTAAAATACCACTTTTTTTTTATTAGATCACCAGATAATGTTAAGTTTATAAAGGAGCCTCCTGCTAAAAAAGCTGCAATAAAAAATGTGGTCAGTGTTAAACAGAAGTCAAAAAATGGTTATGATAAATTAGCTGAAAAAAAATGCAATCAAGACTTTTTTTCAGCTGATTTTGATCACCCAAGTTTAGCTATTTGCAGCTATTTGGGGAGAAGCAAATGAAGATTGGCTTAAATGTTTAAGTTGCAATCAGTGGGCATGTGAAGCATGTTTTGGAGTTAATAAATGTGCAAGTTGTGTGTAAAGAACATATAAAAGTCTTGTAAATTTTTAAATAGTCATAGTAGTGATATAATTTTTGTTATTGCTTTAACATGCTATTATGTTCACTATTGTGGTTATAGGGTTTTCATTTATGCCAAAATCATTATTGGAAATTAGGAAACTAAAACTGTCTTTCAGTAATTCTCTCTTGTTGTTATCTGTATACTACTTTAGTAATTCTATCTGTAGTTATCTGCAGGCTATCAGTAGTTCTATCTACATCACTTAGAGGTTTACTATTCTAGATTCAGGAAATGCTACTATTACCCAAAAATAATGTTTTATATCAAAGTTTTTTTTCTCCTAGGTAAGCTGCCTATACCACTAGTAAGAAAGTTTGTCTATTGCCCAAGTAACATATTTTTCAATTTGTTTAGTTGTACTGATGAATTCGCCCTGTATATGACAAAATTGCCCCTCATGACTTGATGATGAAAAAATCAAGTTCTGCGCAAAAGTAACTTTAGAATTTATTTTGATTCAATACATTAACAATGTAGAGACTCTAATTAATAAAAAATGTTATTAAACTTAAAAAATTTACTTATTTATATGCGAATTTATTTTATTAAAATAAAACATGACGAACTGGCCCCGCCTTACCCTAATGCGCATAACAATCACAATATGTTGTAGATCATTTTATCTCTAAAGACCTATAAAGTCTAAGTACTTGATATATATTTTATCTCCTATAAAGTCAAAGTATTTCACTTTTTCTCCTAAAAAGTCTAAGTACTTCATGTTATCTCCTATAAAGTCTAAGTACTTGTTTTTTGGGATGTACCGAAGCTGCAATTTTGCCGAAGCCAAAGCTTCGGCCAAAGCCACTTTGTCGAAGCCAAAGCTTCGGCCGAAGCCACTTTGCTGAAGTCGAAGCTTCGGCAAAGTTATACTTATACAAAGTTATATAGCTGAAGTTATATGTAATTTAAAGCTCAATTTACACGGTGATTTGAATAACACAAAGCTTCACCACGGTGATTTGAATAATCAAGTTGCTTTTAAAATTATATATCAATGTTTTAGGTTTGAATGTTTTGGCCTACATGCCCATTTTAGGAAAATTATAAAACAAAACCAATATTATAAAAAATTTAAACAAATTTTGTACAAAAATTTAGAGAGTGAAACTTAGAGTCTTAACTCTATATATCTAGCAGGTATAGGAAAGATTACATCACTAAATCTTAGACATTTACTGATACTTAAGGTAATTTATGGTCTATTCTGTGAAAGAATTCATAAAAATGTAAACACGTAAAATGTAAAAATATAAAAGTAGTCATTATTTTAATTTGAACATAAAATTTGGTATTTGTTTTAAATTTTGTTAAAAAGTTGAATCAGTTGAACTAAGAAGCTACAGTCTATTATTTAGTTAATAATAATTTATTCAATGAAAGCAGGCATATTACAATTTAAAAATGCAATCTGTTCTCCATGTTCAGGTAATAGTCTGTTTCTTTTTTGCTTCAAATATGTTTCCAGATGTGCTAAATAAGCGTTCACTTTTTACAGATGAAGGAGGCGCGCACAAAACTTTCTTTGAAAACTTTGACAAATTCAACTTGTAAGTATCTTTATCAGAGGAAGTGTAATGGTATGCACTCCACCACTTATAAGGGCATTCTTTGGCAGTATTGGAAGGCTCAAGTAGAAGTTGACTTCATCGGTGCTGATACATAAAATATAGGTGATAATTTTAGGCTTAAATTTTTAAAATATTTCACTTTAATCAACTAAACAAAATAAAAGAATGCTGTTATCCGTCTTTTGAAATATAAAAAATGGAGATTGAGAATAGAGATAAAAAAAAAATATAATATTTAATGTATAAACAATATAAAAATCATAAATAGATTCTGTTTTCTTACCATTTTTCTTTGACAGTTAGAGTTTTTCCCATTGAACTAGTGTTTTTTTTCTTTTTTCTCCGTCCGTCAGAATTTTCTGAATTTTGTTGAGCATACTCATTTGCACCGATTTGGTGGAACAAGCTATATATGTCCATGCTTATTAGTTTTTGTTTTTTTAATGGAGAGCCATGGCCATCAAAATCTGAGTCGGACTCATGAATTTTAGATTCTGAAAATAAACTTATTGATTCTTCTGAGTCTGATCCACTACCTCTTGCTACACCAAATTCAATGTCTTTTACTTGTTCTAAATGAGATTTGGAACAAAAACGGTAGAACTCTAGATTGAGTATTTCTTTAAACATATTATGATTCTTGTCTTCAACAAACTTTAACTTGAAACGAGGATCAAGCATCATTGTGATTTTTAAATCAACATTATCCTTGTATTTTTGAAAACGACAGTTAAAATCTTTCTTAAGTTCATCAACAACAGTTTTTATTTCAGTTGCCGTGTCACAAGCGTAGTCTAGAAACTTTTCCATTGCATAGATAAATGGTATAATCTCTGATATACATGCAGTTTCTTTACTCATGTCTTTTCTAGTACTTTTGAAGTGTTTTAATATGCATACAAGCATTTCAGCAAGTTGCCATTGTTTTCCGTAGGATTTTTTGCATTTGTTTGATTTCTGGTAATGCAATACAATGTAATTTAATTTAATTTTTCTGCTCAATGAACCTTTCAAGCATATAGTATGTCGAATTCCATCTTGTGGAAACATCTTGAATTATGCTATGCTCTGGCAATTTTAGTTGACTTTGAATTTCCTTTAGTTTAGCCACAGCACTAGATGAGTGGTGGAAATGTCCTGCTAATGCTCGAAAAACAGCTATTGTATCACTTGCTGTTCTTTGTTCTCTAAAGATCTTTTTCTGAATACAAAGTTGTAAAGTATGTATCAGACATGGAAGATGTTTATCGCCCAAATTTGACTCTTTAATGGCAGCCATTACATTGGCTGCATTATCAGTTAAAACTACATGAATTTTTTCTTGGGGAATTTCCCATGATTGTAGCGCTTTATTTATGAATTTACTAATATTGTGCCCTGTGCAACTCAGGGAAGTGTGTAACTTGTAAGATGACATGTTTAACTGTTAACTCATGCGTTACAAATCTAGCTGTTAAACTGTAATACAATTGAATTGTGTGCTGACAGGTCCAACCATCACTAGTTAAACTTAAGAAATCTGCTTGATCAAGCTCATATTTTACTTTGGCTTTTATGGTTTCATACACCAGTGGAATGACTTTTGTGGAGAAATACTTTCGACTAGGTATTGTATAGTTTGGAGCTAAATTCTTTAAAAGTCGGGTAAAACCTTTATCTTTAACAATACAGTATGGCTGCAAGTCTAAACATATCATTTCTCCAATAAGCTTGGTAATAGCTTGAGCCTTAGGATTATCAAGTTGCCACAATTCTTTTCTTTGCAAAATCTCCCGCAGTGAGACCTGAAACAAATTCAACGAATTAAAAAAATTACTTAGCAACTTGTAACTAACAATGGCCAGCGACGGATCTAAGTGGCGGATAGAGGTATGTATCTTTCCCCCCTCACCAGAACATTTATTATA